ATTATAATCTGGTTAAATCTATAACACAATTGCTATTATATTGGGGATAGTTACATCATGTTTAGGCATTATCGTGACATGGTTTTTGTTTTAATTTGGAAATTAAGCATGACATAAGGAGATATGACTGTGTGTCAAATTGACAAGGACGGACTTGTGATGGCTATTCTTGGTTGTCAACTTAACTGCATCTAGAATTAACTAAAACCCAAATGGCTGGGCACATCTGTGAGGGATTTTTATTTTTTAATTAAATCATTTGAAGAGGGAAGATACAATTCCAATCCAGATCTTTAAGGTGGGAGAATTCACCTTTAATGTGAGACACACCCTCTGCTGGCAGCCTATCTAAAGGACCTGGAAGAAAGAAGCTTGTCCTTGCCAGCAAGTCCACTCCTTCACTGACATTAGAGACTACTTCTTGGGGATTCTGGCATATACTGAAGACCAGCTGTGACATCCAGCCTCGTGGACTGAACAACTGCTAGATTCTTGGACCTTCCATTAGTAGACAGCTATTGTTGGAGTAGCTGGACCACAGCCTGTAAGCGATTCTCTGCTCTCTCTTTCTCTCTCTCTCTCTCTCTCTCTCTCTCTCTATATATATATATATATATATATATATATATATATATGTCTCTCTCTATTATCTCTCTCTCTCTCTCTCTATTAGTCTCCAGAGGAGAACCCTGACTAATACACTGGGTAAGACATCTACTGAGGATAAAGCTAGTAAACAGCAGAGTTGAAAGCTGAAGTCTCCAACATAGTGAAGTCCTGGCCAAAGGGGATGAGATTCTGAAAAACAAAATTGTAAAAGCCATAGGAACAGGAAGTTTGCTGATAATGTGTCTCCCAGAAATATCAAAGATAGATTCATGAACTCTCATCAACATGGCTGCCTAAACTAGATCAGAACAGAGGCACCATCAAGAGACATGTTAACACAGAAGGGGAAGAGGCCTCAACCATAGACAAAGAACTACAGGCAACTAAGAAATGCTGAGAGTGGGAGAAACCATCTCTCCCAGAGGGCCCCAGTTGGTTATTCAGTACCAAATGGTCAGTCCTGAAATCATATACATGCAAGTAACATTACACAGACTGAGCAGGTTGTACTTCTGTATTTAAGAATATGTATATATATTTGTATATCCGTGTGTGTGTGTGTGTGTGTGTGTGTGTGTGTGTGTGTGTGTGTGTGTAAAACAACATAGGAAAAAGGCATGAATTTAAGAGCAAAGGAGGGGCAAATGTGAGGGGTCAAAGAAGGAAAATGATGTAATTATATTTGAAAGGCCAATTATGGAGGCTGGGAGGTTACCCAAGAGCATTTGCTGTTCTTTTAGAGGGCTCAAGTTTGATTCCTAGTACCCACATCCGTCAGGCAAGCTAATGGTCATTCTGACCTCCTTGGGCACACACAGAAACATTAAAAAATATTTAAAAATAAAAAGTTGCCAGGCATAGTGATGCACACCATTAGTATCAGCACTAGGAGGGAGGCAAAGGCTGGAGGATACTTGTGACTGTGAAGCAAGCCAGAACTACATAGTAAGTCCAGGCCAGCCAGGGCTCCGTGGTGAGGTCCTATCTCCAAACACACACACAAACCACACAGCTCAAGTCAGACAGGATTCCAGCACAGAGAAGAGAAGTGGGCACAAAGTCTTACCTCTCTAGCCACGTTGCTATTTGCAATGGATAGCTGCTGGGAGAGGGACGATCATTTGTCTTCAATGGAGTGTCACTGGGTAGTTACATCAACCACATTCCAGGGCAGTTGGCCAATATAATCAATCAGACTCCCTGGTTATTTTGTAGTTGTTTTTTTGTTTGTTTGTTTGTTTGTTTTTAGAGAAAGAAGAGGAAATCAGTTGGGTAGGGAGAACTTGGGAGGAGTTGGGGGAGGGGAAGAATGTCAACATTCTGTATGAAATTTTCAAAAAGTAAATAAAAACATAAAAAAATACGGCTGGAGAGATGACTCGGAGGTTAAGAGCATTGACTGCTCTTCCAGAGGTCCTGAGTTCAATTATCGGCAACCACACGGTGGCTCACAACCACCTTGAATGAGATCCGGTGCCCTCTGCTGGCGTGCAGGGCACATGCAGACAAAAGACTGTATACTTAATAAATAAAATCTTAACAAAACATAAAAAATACAAGTAACAACACGTTAGAAATAAAAAGCCAATCAGGTAGATTCCTGATTGACCATCATAAGGTAAGTAAAGAGAAATTTACCAGGACAGCTGATGTTCTAATACCCAGTGACTTCCTTTCATTAGTAAAGACTAATAATGAATTTGTCTGGCTTCCTTTATTTGAACAGGAGAAACCATTGGAACTGGGTTTAAGACGTCTTTATTCCGTTAGACCCCCAGAAGAATTCCCCCAAACAACAGACTGGCTGAGTAATAGTGAAATAAATAGACAGGATCTTGTGTTTTGAAATTTTCTAAGCTATATCCCAAACAGGTGGATAACTGTGACAGATGAGGTGTCTTCAGCACAGATAGCATCATACTCATCAGCTTCAAATGACTAAGCCAGAAGTGTCAGACTCCGAGAGGGACCACTGAGAGGTTGTGATCAGTCACTGCTGCTATTTACAGAATGAAGTAGCTCTCTGCCTTTTGGATTCATTTCACCAAATGGATTCCTCCTCAGGTCAGATACAGATTTCTAGCAAAATGGAAGGCATTTTCCAGGAATAAACCAGCTGACCCTTCTGAAGCAGCTGACTTAACTTTGTGAATAATAAACCTTTGTCTGGCACGCCTAGGAGGGCTGTCACTGACACTCACAGCTGACCTCTTCCTAACCCAGCAAAGCTTTATACCTCATGCTCACCCAGCTGGGAGGAGGTTGTGGTGGTAGCCCAGTGACTTTGAACTGCTGATTGCATGCAGGTTCTTCCTGGCTCTAAAACCGGACTTACAAGGGCATCAGTCTCATGGTAGTGTACATAAGTGTGTTCAAGGCTACAAGGGTACAACTCTCATGGCAGTGTAAATAAGTGTGT